ATAGAGGGAGCAGCTGAGTAGGAAGCATGGCTCCGTTTGTTGGAGAGATATCAGAAGTTGAAGGCACTAGAGTTTCACGGCATGATGGATTCTATTATAGCACATAAGTGGAAGGAGGATGTAAGTAACATCTTGGATATGCTTAATCTAGATACTGTGCAAAAGCAGAGGCTAATAGCTTTTAGCCTCAAGGGAGATGCATGATGGTGGTATCGACTTCGATTCACTCGGGAATAGAGGATGATGATTCCATGGGGGACTTTTGTATACTTCTTTGATGAGCATTATATGTCGGCTATAGCAAAAGCCGGGAAGAAGTTAGAGCTAGCTCGGCTAGAGCAGGGAGAGATGTCGGTGTCAGACTATGAGAGTAAGTTCATGGCTCTACTCAGATTCACGGGCTTGTGGCATACTGATGAGCGGCAGCCTCAGATGTTTTTGATGGGACTGTGCCCGAGTCTATGTCGATATCTCATATCTAGGTGATTTCATTCAGTGCAGGATGTGGCCGATGCAGCCACATCGCAGGAGACTGAGACTGTGATGTTTCAGAAGAGCAAAGAGAGTAACGCCAAGTCTAGATAACAAATAGGGTAAGGGATTTCATCATCAGCAACAGAGTCAGCATAAGAAAGGAGCTCAACATGGTTCAACAGCACCGCAACAGCGCAAGATTCAGGGTGCATGTTATAACTGTAATAAGATCGGTCATAAGGCTAGGGATTGTCGCAGTGTACTAGTAGGAGACCAGCAGGGTAGAGGCCAAGGCCAGCAACAGGGACGGGGACACAGTCAGTAGCAGAACCATGGTCAGGGTCAGCAGTTTCAACACTGCAATCACGGCTAGCAGTAGTAGTAGCAGAGGATAGAGGCATCACCTATCATTCTAAGGATTGAGGGGCCTACAGGCCAGATTCGAGTCATCCAGGAGATCTTTGAGGGACAAATAGTCCCATATGTTCCTCAGCTAGCAGTGCAGCAGTTGCTAGCCACCGGCAAGGTGTATGCGGTCGTACCACGTGATCATGATGCAAGTGGAACTATAGTGGAACGTACTTTCTTAGTGAATTCCTTTTCCGCTCGGATCTTGTTCGATTCAGGAGCTTCACACTCTTTTATCTCTCACGCATTTATGGATAGACTCCAGCTAGTTACACATCCTTTAGATGTTCCATTATCCATCTCTACTCCTTTAGGAGAGGTATCCCTATTGGAGAGTATTTGTAGGAGATGTGTTATTAGTCTAGATGAGTCTGAGTTTATCATTGATTTGATTGTTTTGTGGATGTCGGAGTTCGACGTTATTCTTAGTATGGATTAGCTATCATCCTACCATATCAGTATCGACTATTTTGCTAAAACAATCAGTTTGCGAGCGTCTGATGGGTCTAAGTTGATAGTAGCGACCTCACACGGAAACCAGATTGCAGAGTCATTTCTGACGTACATCGAGGAGGTGATACTGTAGGATCGTAGTGTCGATTTGAGCGAGACGCATGTGGTCTCAGATTATCAGGATGTCTTTCAGGACATACCGGGTTTGCCTCCAGTGAGAGAGGTCGAGTTTTGCATAGAGTTGCAGCCAGGCACATCACCTATATCCCGAGCACCCTATCGTATGGCACCTGCTGAGATGAGGGAGCTACAAACTCAGTTAGATGAGCTATTGTCTCAGGGATTTATTGATCGGAGTCATTCTCCGTTGGAAGCGCCAGTCCTTTTCGTGAAGAAGAAGGATGGTAGCATGCTGTTATGCATCGATTGTCGTGAGTTGAGCATAGTCACCATCCGAAACAGGTACCCACTGCCGAGGATTGATGATTTGTTCGACCAGCTACAAGGAGCGTAACACTTCTCTAAAATTGATCTCCGTTATGGCTATCATCAATTGCGGGTCGGGGAGATGGATATCCCCATGACCGCCTTTCTGACTCGATATGAGTCCTTTGAGTTTCTTGTCATGTCTTTTGGGCTGACCAATGCACTTGCGGTATTCATGGATTTAATGAACCAGGTATTCTGTTCATACTTGGACCAGTTTGTGATTGTATTTATTGATGACATCTTTATCTACTCGAGATCGAAGGCAGAGCATGAGTAGCATCTTTGATTGGCTTTGTAGACCTTGCGGGAGCATCAGTTATACGTTAAGTTCAACAAATATGAGTTTTGGCTATCAGAAGTTAGATTTTAGGGCCATGTTATCAGCCGGTAGGGCATTGCAGTAGATCCGACTAAGGTGGAGGCCGTTCTTGATTGGGAGCCGTCGAGGACAGTTACAGAGATTCGTAGTTTTCTAGGATTGGTAGACTATTACAAGAAGTTTATTTAGGACTTCTCAAAGATTGCGACGCCACTTACACACCTTATGAAGAAGGGTGTACAGTTTGTTTGGGGCACAGATTGCCAGGAGGCCTTTGAGACTTTGAAGGCTAAGTTGACATCAGCGCCGGTGTTGATCATTCCGAGTAACGATAGGTCTTTTGTTGTCTACACGGACGCGTCATTATCGGGTCTTGGAGGTGTTTTGATGCAAACCTAGAGAGTGGTGGCTTACATTTCGAGGCAGTTGAGGACTCATGAATGGAATTACCCCACTCATGATCTGGAGCTAGCAGCAGTGGCCTTCGCACTAAAGACATGGAGACACTATTTATATGGAGTGCAGTTCGAGCTATTTACGGACCATCAGAGTTTGAAATACCTTTCCTCACAGAAGGAGCTAAATCAGAGACAGCGACGATGGGTCGAATTCATCAAGGACTACGAGTTTGCGATTCAGTACCATCCGGGGAAGGCTAATGTAGTAGCAGATGCGTTGAACAGGAAGTGTCGGAATCGGATTACGGATTTGAGGTGCTCATTGTATCGAGATCTTCATACTCTTAGTCAGTTTGATTTTAGGCCAGAGATCGATGGGAGCAACGCATTTTTGGGAGCTTTGTCTGTGCAACCATCTTGGAGTGATAGAGTGGTCAGGGCTCAGCTAGAGGACTCTTGGATTCAAATCCGAAAGGAGGGGATTTCCAAAAAACCAAAGGCTGATTGGACCGTTGGGATAGATGGAGGTCTTCGGATGAAGGGATGATTAGTTGTGTCGTCTAATGCAGAGCTGAAGAAAGAATTGTTTGATGAAGCATATCGTACCAAGTACACAGTGCATCCTGGTACAACAAAAATATACAAGGACCTAAAGAGATAATTTTGGTGGAGTGGTATGCGCAGGGAGATAGCAGAATATGTTGCTAGATGCTTTACCTGCCAGAAGGTGAAGGCAGAACATCAGAGACCGGTAGGGATCCTGCAGCCTTTACCCATTCCGGAGTGGAAGTGGGTAGATATTTCTATGGACTTCATTATAGGATTACCGAAGATGAAGAAGGGGAACGATTCCATTTGGGTGATAGTTGATTGATTGACGAAGTCAGCACATTTTGTCTCAGTGAAGATAACTTATACAACAGAGACATATGCGAGGATTTTTATCCAGGAGATAGTTCCATTGCATAGAGTTCCGAAGATGATTGTATCAGATAGGGGCTCAGTATTCACATCCCATTTATGGAGGAGTTTTCAGGAGGCTTTCGGCAGCCAGTTATCATTCAACAGTGTCTTTCACCCCCAAACAGATGGTCAGATAGAGAGGGTGAATCAGGTGTTGGAGGACATGCTACGAGTATGTGTTATAGATTTTCGAGGTAACTAGGAGGACCACATCCTTTGATTGAATTTGCATATAATAATAATTATCAAGCTACTATCGGGATGACGCCGTATGAAGCATTGTACAGAAGGCCTTGCAGATCGCCTATATGTTGGACAGAACCGAAGGATAGTCTATTGATTAGACCTAAGATAGTGAGACAGACTACAAAAAAGATAGCAATAATTTGAGAGTGCATTCTTGCAGCACAGAGTCATCAAATATAGAACTGCCGTATGCATCACTATGCCACTAACGAATCTTAGGGGCAATTCGCTTCATGAATTCCAAATAGGCCCCGATATTGACGGTTAACCTTAATGATTTGGCCGCACCTGTAAGAGCAACTATTTTCCTGCAAAAAGATTTCGAATTTGTAAGTTCAATAAGACCTATGAACTCATATTAGACCTAACACTAACGGGAATCTAATAGAACTAACGCGTACTATTATAGAATTAACATTTGACTCTATCTAGAACTAACATTTGACTCAAACTAGAACTAACATTGGACTCAAACTAGAACTCATGTGGACTCAGACTAGAACTAACAATACCGTGGTAAAACTTGGCATTGTTTAAGATGAACTGAAATTAGGGAAAATTCGGTCGAGTTCCCAAATACTGGATAACATAGCACTTACTGTATTTTTGGGGAGGGTTCGTTGGTACGACCCGCCATTGCCGTTCTTCTTTTCCGGGCTCGCCATTTTATTGCCTGCTTTTGCATTTCCATAAGGGTTTGAGTAGCTTCCTCCGTATTGCCAACCCCAGATGAACCGTTTTTGCCCTTCGACTCGCCTCGAAGAACAACCTCGTAATCGTTAACGGATCCTTCCCTGGACGATATTTTTTTGGCGAAAACCCTAGAAACTGTTGAAATCCGAACATAAATTAGAAAGATCAAGAGGTTTTGAGGATCCTAAGCGGTGGAAGAGAGAGAAAGAGAGGGAGGGTACTTGAATATGGATGGGGCGAATTAACCGAGATCAGTCCCATCAGAGGGGTAAGATCGTAACTTCCGCTGTGCTTTTTCTGAAAAAGATACTTCGAGGCCTCGTCACAAATACGGTGCGTATTTGGGGCTTATACATATGGGGCAAAATACAAGAGGGTTCGTCACACGAAGTTCCCACTTACACATTTCCCCCTAAAAACAAACAAAAATAGAGACCACAAATAAAGCGAAATAATAATAACCCCAGACCCGTAGACGATGACATAAACCACAACCATAAGCCCAAAACAAAAACCATGAAAATTCACATTCACCCTCGAAGACTCATCATGTTATATTATTTGTAGCCGCACCCTTTATTTCCTATTACTTAATAATAAGAATAATAAGTTCCAATTCTCAAAACTTGTCTACCACTATGCAAGCGTTCTCATCATCGCTCACCTCCGCTAAACCCTTCGTTGCTTCTCCTCGCTCTCACCCTCGCGTGAGATCTCAGCTCAGCGATCGACAATCTCTAGCAGTCGCTGATTCCAAATCAATGGCGGCCAAGTGGGCCCAGAAGACTGTCGTCCTCCCTCCGCAAAAGAGAGGATGTCATCTCGTCACTTCCAAGGTGAAGAATAACCACAATTTTCTTTCTTTTTTCGATCAATTTTGTGCTGACTTGGGTTAGTTTTTGCTTCAATTTTTGTGGGTTTTCTTTGTTCCGATTAGTTATGAATTAGGTATTCTTTAGATTGCCAAATTTTGGATGTTATCTGCTGAATATTGGAATTTTTGTTTCTAGTTGATTGTGAACCACTGATTCTGCCTGACTTAATTTTGTTTGGTCATTCTTGTTTTTTTTTCTAATATTCTAGATTATTATAGTTTAAAGTTGGGAGCTTTGATCACGGTTTATCGAGAGAGTGGTGCTAATGGCAACAGTTGCTACCTAATGGCAACAGCTGCTACTGATTCTTTGAAATATAGGAAGTTTTCCATATTGTTTTAGATGCCTATGTATTTGGAGGTCAGTGGACTTTGCTTTAGATATCTCGAGAGCACCTTGGGTTGTATTCAGATAAATGATCAAACTCCCTATAAATTAGTTGGTTTACTTCGATCGACTAAGCCTTTGTACTGTAAATCATTTTGAATGCGGGGTGACATAGTCACTCTACTGATTCTAGGTTGTGAAGGACGGAATGTTAAATGTAAAGATATAGTTTATGGTGAGAAGCTAACGATGTTTTTTGGAGATGGAGGATATAGTTGAAACAAGTGTGCTTCAGGTGAGAACAGAATGGCCTTTGCAGCTGAAGCACAAGATGAGTCCTCATCGTAGAAGAAAACAGTCTTGAATGACATAGGTGACGTGTCTCGATATTCTCAAGTGCTTCCTGAATGAATTTCCATACGTTGCCTATCAGTTTATATATCATTATATTATATGTTCTCATAGATGCTATAAACAGATATTTAGGAAGGGGATCTTATTGGAGATATGTCGGTTCTTATCTATATTAATTCATTAACTATTATTCTTTGATAAGATAATGTCAAGTAAGAACTTTTGACAGGTGTGCTTTCTGTATTGTTAAGATATTAGCTTCGACAACAACTTTGTAGGCTAGAAACTAGATGAAAGGAAATGATTATACAGTTTTATTTAAAAAGATTAATTACAATCCGGTACCCTTAAAATATGGTTTAATTACACAATTGACCTTGGAGTATGCGTATCTACATGGATAACCCTGAGATCATTGACTGTAATTACACGGGTAGTCCTAGAATCTGATTGTAGACTAATGCTGTTGTTTTTTTGTACAGACATGGAGTTGTTTGACTTTGGTGAGCGGTAGGGTTAGGTGTAGGGCTAGGTTCATGACAAAGATAACTGACTATTAAGGGTAGAGATATGGTTGTACCAGTAAAATGCTAATAAGTAGTTTTTGCTATAACCTCAACCCCAACCCTGATCATAACCCTAACCAAAATCCTAACTCCAATTCTGACCTCTACCGTAACCATCATAAAAAAAAGAACTTCAAATCAGGAAATATAACTGATTATAGATTTTAGGGTCACCCATTTAATTAAAATTAGTAATCTTAGGGTTACCTGTGTAGTATGCCGAGTCTAGGATCACTTATATGATTACATCGTACTTCAGGGTATCAGATGGTAATTAATCCTATTTAAAATAGTAGTGAAATATCAAATATGCACACAATGAAAGTTAATTACCTGGAGGTGCCAATTAGTACATCTTTTGTTTGAATCTTTTATATTCCAAACTTTAGAATACATAAGTAAAGTTATATAGATAGGCATCTGAATCTTTATTAAGTTTGAGAACTTTTTTGCGGTTTTGATCTTTCATCAATATTGTAGTAAATCTCGTGTGTTTGCTCCAATGTCCTCATTGTTGGTATCATGAATAATAGTTGAGTGCTAGATGGAAGCATTCATGTTGTCTATCACTTAGCTTTCGAAACAACTAGATATGTAAGAACAATTAGATCTAGCCATCATCAAATATTGATTCCTGCGTCTAAGAAATCCTTGGCCAACTATCTCCTTCTTGATTCCTTTGACAACTCATTAATTGTGCACAACAAACGGCTAGGGGTGTGCAATTTATTCATGTTTGCTTCCCCCGTAAATACATAAAGCGACGATAGCAATTTAAGTCCCATTATGGAATGCATACACAATGCACATCCATATTACATTCATGTTACTTCATATGGATCATGATTTTCTTTCATAAATCAGCAAAGAATATATATATATCACAAGAGAATGGCTTCTACTCTATAAGATATTAATTCAATTTGGCAGTTCGTCAAATAAGATGCTATTGGCAAGGGATTGCTAAAGAAATTGGCTTAATGTCCTTATATACATGTTGATGATATGAATGATTACATCTGCTTTAGTTATCACTGGTGCTTTTCAGGAGTTATTCCAAAACTGTAGATACGTCTAAGCATCTTGTGATGGATTTATTTGAAGTTAAATCCCTCTCCAAATGGTATGAACATAATGGAGTTATGGAGGGGTCAACCCCATTTGAAATATCACTCAGGCTAAAAGATTGTGGGCTTGACACCTTTTGAATAGCCCAAAACCAACTTTGACTGCTTAGGTGGTACTGTTGCTAAAGCAGCTTGATTGTTTTTCCCCCTCTCAGCTGGAAACACTTACATTTGGGTGTTGGTTGAGCCCTTATTACTGGTTCATTCCTTATAACGTGGGAAGCCTTGAAGTTCACTACAAAACCTCTATGCTAACATAACTTGGATTGGAGATGATTCCCATGAATAACTGCTTTGCCAAAAGAACCAACTAAGGATGAGTATCCTTTTCTCCTTTCTCCTTGCTGACCGCAAGATGTTTTTAAGGTTTTCATACAGAAGAGTCTCAGTAATATTTATCAAGAAGGTAACGGTGCTATCTATCTGATGCCTAACAGTGAGCTTCAGTCGGAGGAACCAATTATGACGCTACTGACACTCCTAAGTCCTCCTGGATATGGTAGAAGTTTATCTTATAGATTTATTTTATTGCCTTCCTACTTTGTGGCTGTATCCAGATACATCCACTAATATAATTGATAAAAGATACTTAATATATGGGTTTGGTGAAGAGAGAATCCTATTTTCGTTCAGCTCATTGCATCATGAATGTTAAATCATAATTTCATGATATGCATTTATTCTGTAAATGAATCAACTAACTGATATCAAGCATGTGAGGAATATAGTATGGATGGAGGAGAGGATATATATTCTATTTATAGCTATATCTTCTTCTTCGTTTACATGTATATCAGGGAACAATAAAAATGAAAGCAAGAAAAGAAACAATGGAAGCTAAAAGAAAATGAAAAACAATACTACTGAGAGAATATAAAAATCAAACAAAAACTAGGTAGTAATATTCATAGAGAGCAAACTTACATACCGAAACAACTTACACAAACTAGTAGCTGAGAGATGAACTAGCCAGCACCGGAGTAATAGTAGTAGTAGTACACACCTTACACACTCTTATCTTACAAATACTCAAAAGAAACTTCACAAAACAAAACTTATTTACAAATTTAAGAACAAAAAACAAGAGGGGAAGCACTAAGAGTTTTCTTTCTCTTTGCTCTCTAAAACCTTCCTCTATCTTCATGACATTCACCTCTATTTATAGAGTTTCTCTTGATACTATTTTTAGATGCTTTGTCATGATGTGTGAGACCGACAGTGATAATTTTTCAAAATATTTCATGAAAATAGGTTATAGAGTACCCTTTTTTATCATAAGCAGGTAAGAGCAAGTTTATCGATAACGGATAGCATCCTGTAGAAGTGAGGCACCACTAAGGCTATTTGTGCCTATAGCGGTACATAGTGCATAGTCAAATAGCGGTCCAATTTGAATATATTTAAATAATTTAAAAAATAAAAAATCAATGCAAGGATAGGACTTTATTGAGGACAGGGCTTCATCGAGGAGATGGAGCAGAAGTAGTTAGAGGATATGGAGATGAAAGGAGATGAAGATGGAGCTCGTCGAGAAGTTGGAGAATTTGGAGAGGAGGTGGAGTGGTGGAGGGAGACATCGAAGCTTGAGCTCGTCGAACAAGGAAGAGAAAGAGAGGCAGAGGTCCAGTTAGGGTTTCTTGAGAAAGAGGCGGAGACAGTCAAATACAAAAGAGAGAGGGAGTGTGTTTTATACATTGGGTCGGGGTTTTTTTTATAAAAATCAACCAAAAAGGCGCTAAAGCTCTCAAAGTGCTTTTAAGCGCTATTAACTGCTTTTGAGCGCTATTTCGTGTTTTTCTCCATTCGAGATAGCGGTCTTTGGCGCTTCTTTTCACCGCTATGGTCAAAATTATCGCGGGCAAGGATTGCTATCGTAATTGCAGCGCAATTCGCAAATACACCGCAATTTCCCGCTATTACAACATGAGGTAGGAGCCACGAATTTCTTCATGCAAAAGTATCTAAAATAGGAATCCAAAATAGAACTATTGGCAGCATGCTCTATGCAGTTGTTTTAACTGAAATTGTCATTTCTTCTGGAGTTGTTGATAACTGCTCTGTTTAGCTGTTAAACAAAATTGCATCAAAGTTTTATTATCTTTAACTGGTAAAATATCTTCTTTTCAAATGATCAATTTAAATTTTAAGTCGTTAATATTAATCATCTTTATAGTTTTACCATGATTTAATGATATGTTACATATTTTCCCATCTATGAGTTATTTCCTATACTAAATCACTATCAACGGATGCACCACCTGGAGAATGAATTTCTTTTTCTTGATATGCTTTTGCTGCCATGAAAACGTCATATACTTCTCTTGAACTGGACCAATTGGTGGGTTAGTCATCCATTGTTCTATGACTGTTTTTGCTGCTCTTGTATGAGAAACTTCTCCTATCTTAATATTTGCACATATGATTCGAAGCCTATTTGTCATATAGTATGCATTATCTTCGATCAAGTATTAAGTTTTTTTTGAAGTGGATGGTAGTTTGGAGACGATCCAACTCTATATGGTAGCATTCTTCATGGAACCAATTGTAGAAATAAAGTCCTAGGACTGTAGAAATCTCTTATATCTGT